CAAGTCACTTCTTAATCTTTTCTTTGATAAACGAAAAAGATCAACCTCTTTAATTCTCTCATTTCAGACATTTTCTGCATCCCTAGAAATCACTCTTACAGATCCGGTCTATATCTCCTGCAGTGTTTTACTAATTTCCTTGAAATGTCGGTGTGGAACTGTTGAGGGCTCTGGAAGAAGTCCCTTGATGCTGGAAGAGGAGGCTGAGCCATCTCCTCACTCCTACCTCTAGCTCCGGGCTTCCCGCATGGGGTGAGCACAGGTTTGCTAGGAAGCAGAGACTCGTCTTCATCAATATTTATCACTTTATCTAAATCTGCTGTGTGTGAGTGGTGTTAGCCACAGTGAGATGAAGTCCTTACTAGAGACATACTTCAGCAGTGGTTTGTTGTCTCCCAGACCAGCCAGGTAACTAGTCTGAAATCCATTTAGCATATTCACTATTCATATTTTATAGTGCCTTTTTTTTTTTTTTTGTCAACATGTCATGCATTATGAGGTCAAAACACCTTTTGGACATCAAGGATATTGCTTCTGTGCATAACTATATCCAATGTGCAGAGAATAAAACCAGGTTTGCTTACCACGACCTGTTTTTCCTAAACCCACGTTGACTGGCATATATGCATGCCCCTTGGTTCTCTGCTGCCTGAATCCAGTGCTGTCTTTCTGTCTTGGACAGACATCTGGCTAGCTGTCCCCTTCAGGCCATACCTGTGCCTTCTTGGATATTCAAGCAGAAGACTCTTCCAGTCTTCTAAAATTTCCTCTTAAAAATGAACATCAGCACACAGCAGTTTTCTTAGTTCTCTTAGATCTCTTGGCTGCAAAATTATTCATATCTGCCAAATTTAAATATCTTCTGCTGCTGGTAGATGTTGTTGAATGTTCTTCTCGATTGCTAATAGGTTGGAAATGCTTCATCCTCATAATTAGTGTTATCCTGCTTCTTCCCAAATGTTCAATGACAGTAATTACAGCATGTCTGCCATATCTGTCTCATTAACAGCTTTACCATCTCCACCCAGTGATGGACCCCTGTCCTTTCTAATGTGATCTTTGTCCCTAATGCCCTTCATCAATCCTTCCTACTGCTCCCCAAGAGACTTCTTCCTGAAGCTCCTTTGTTTTCATACTGTTTAAGCACTTCACAGCTTCTTTGTTGACGTTGGTCTGCTGAGCTCTGAAGATCTGAAGCTCTGGAAGATTTCAGCACATTGGTGTGCTGATTTTATATTTCTAATGGTGCCCTTTCTTTTGTACAGCAACTAACTTTGCTTTTAGCCAGCCTCATTTGCCCTTCATTAAGGCATCAGCTTGGTTTCAGAGCTATCATCTACATTGCCCTTTTCTTTGTATTTTTCAGTATTTCTGCCGGTCAGATTTTCTGGGGTGAAGGAGGTTAGTGTGCTCTGAGCAGCTGGTCTCAGGCTGTTCAAGACAGTGCAGTTTTACCTCCCCTAATTTTAGGGTATAATGGTGACTTCAGCATTCCCACAAAGTGAGCTGAAACTAGAGTTTTCAATAATCTTGGGCTTTTCTCACTGACAGACATTTCGTTCTGCTAGTTACCCAGGCTGTTAGCAGTGGTGAAGAAGTAGTAGGATAAATTATTCTTTTCATATTCTTGCCCCCTATTTCTCTACTGTTTTCCAAGTATCTTCCCCCTGCATAATGAGTCTGCAGGCGAGAAATGAGAGCGTTTAGAGGACAGCAGTGCAAGCCAACTGAATAGCCCACTGTTTCATCTATTTCTGTGCCCAGTTCTCCGTCAAATCAAAACTTTCAGGGTTTAGATTAGTAAAGATTTACGCCCAGGCTTTTCCATCCTCCTTTCTCTTTCTTGGGGGAAGAATGTTTGGCAAGATGACTTGGACCTTCCTCTTTACTATTTTCCCTCCAGGACCCTTTAAATCATCTTTAATCTGTTTTAATTCACATTGTGTCATCAGTTGTATCTGTAGAGGCTGGTCAGGCAATTTGTGATAATCCCACCTAAATTTACATTTCAAATGCTTACTCTGGGAGCACACCACCCCGCTATATTCCCTGCAGCTTTTTACTGCGTTCTTCAGCAGTTGCTTACCAAGTCACAGAGTCCGATTTGATGGTTTCTGTTCCATCTGAAAGCCCCCTGGCTTTTTTCTGTCTTGGTTGCATAAGTCAGGTTTATTGTGGAAAGTGAGAAAGCTTCAATCAGTATTCCCCAGCCCCTGAGCTCACGAAGATCCTGTTAGGGTTGTCCACGAGCCATATGCGGCTTGCATGGCTGCGGGACCCGGGGATGGCACCTCTTGGTGCCCGGGGAGCAGCTCTTCTGCACGAGCCTTGGCCAGGGACAAAGCAGGCACTGTGCGTGGTGCGGGCAGGGGGTGAACCAGCAAAGCTGGAGCTGTGAGCTGTTCAGTATTCACCAGCAACGCTTGCTCCTCGTTAATGCTGGCAGACAGTTGAGAGCAATCAATTGAATTCCCTCAATATTTTGTTTGATTGTTTGGAAGTTTATGCAGGAGAATGGCAAAGTATTTTTCCTATTCTAGAAAATAAGCTAAATCTTGTGCCAGGCTATAATAAATACAGACTATACAACACCAGGAGTTTGGAGCTGTCCTTTGCTGTGTACCTTGTGGTCATGGTCCCTTAAAATCAATATGCAAACAGCACTGATGGCAGGTCTGGGAAGATTTCTTGCCCCAGTTTTCACCTCACCTCGAGGGTCTTAAAGTGTGAGACAGGAGATTAAGCAGAGAGGGAAGACTTGGCATTTCTCAGATACTGGGGAACTTTGTGGGGAGAGAGAACCTGAATAGAAAGGATTGGTTTTCCCGTAATTTAAGCTGGTGGGGATGGCAGGCAAAGCTGACAGGATTTTGGGAGATGCTCTCCTGAAATAGAATAGTGGGAAGAAATTCCAGGGGGTGTGAAAGCAAAAATAACGTGAGGAATTCTGTATGTCAGAAGAGAAGACAGCAGGACCATGAGAAATTATAAAAACTAAAGCATTATTTTCAGGAACTAAATATAATGTGGCCCATTTGGAGAAACAACGATATAACACAAAATTGCTGGGCAAAAATTGAGGCTGTTTTTCACTCAGCTCTGAGTGAGATACCCAAGCAGAGGCTAGTGAGGATAGTGGCGTGGGAGCTCCGCAAAGCACAGTGAAGGCTGAGAAGAGCACAGAGCTGGCATTCAACCAGCCTTGTAAGGTGATGGGAAGAGCTTTGGGGACTAAGGCAATGCAGAGCTTTCTGCAACCTGCTGAGCCAGCCAGGTGCTGGTGGAGAATGGAAGGGGCATAGTGGGCACGTGGAGGTTTGTTCATGCACTCCTTTGTTAATTTTAATCCATATTTCCCAATTGGTCTGAATTTTCTCTATTTTAAAAAGTTTATTATTTGAAGGCCAGGCTTGATGAGAGTCCTGAGGAAGGGATCTGTAAAGAGAGGCTCAGGGCACATCTGCCTTCCCCCCTCAGGGACTTGCCATCCTGTTCAATCACAGGACCTGCCCAAACACCCTACTGCATCTCTGTGGACAGTTTCTGTGATCAGAAAAATGTTAAAATGTTGCTGTGGTTAGAGTGTAGGGGGGAAAAACCCTATGGCCAAGTTATGAATCAGTTGTGCAGCACCCGTGCCTCCAACTGCAGGACCAAAAGGCCACACAGACCTCGAGACATTGGGCTGGGTGAGACAATGGGGCATTTAATGTCTCTGCAGTGGGGATTAAGCTGAGCCTTAGAGGTGATCCTTAACACTGGGATGAGGAGGCTGCTTCTGAAACAAAAGACAGGAAAATCCATGTCTCATGCAGTGCATGCAGCCCCAGGAGAGCGCAGGCGCTGGGACCGGTTGGGTGCTGTGCCTGCAAGTGGCCCATGTTGCGCTTGGGGACCGCTTGTCCTGGAGGCCGCTCCAGTTTTTGGGAATGCTCCGGTCCTTTTTGCCACCTTAGTTGCTTGTCTCAGAAAAATCATTTGCAGGCAGACCTGGTTGTCCTGCTGACTGTACTATATATTAATAATTTGCACAGCCGCTGAGCATCCTGGGGATTCCTCGTATGGGAAAGCTCACAGCTTTCCTACAGCCTCTTTAATTAACTTAATTCAGACATTAGCGTGTCACAGGGAACATCTCTCGAGGGGGGAAGTCTTTCATTTATCACCACTTATCAAGGGAGCATTTTATATTTTTCATTTGCATCCAAAAGTTCATCATGACAAGAGTGAAAATTAACCATTTACTCCCCAGCCAGTGCTTTGCCTGCCCAGCAGCACAGATGCATTGTGTGAGGAGAACCCACTCCCTGCTGTCCCTTATGGGCTGCAGTCCCCAATTTTTGGGTGGGATATCACAACCGTCACATCAATTCCAGAAAATCCATCTCTGCTGGCTCCAGGGAAGCATCAGGCATGTCACGGCAGCTTTTCCTCTGGGAGGTGCCTGGTGGCAGCAGGCAGTATGCCGGCACTGGGGAGCATTGCAGTTGTACACATGCATTATGCTGGCATTCCTCTGTAGAGCTGTGCTGGACCTCCTGCCAGCCCTCTGCTCCTGGCTGAGGGGCACTGGTTGCTTTCCATGCTAGCTCTGGTCACCAAGCAGAAAGAAAAAATATGGGCTTTAGGGAGGTGGTGAGGCTGGGAGACCTTGGAAAGGCCCCTCTCTGCTGGGAGAGGCACAAAATGTGCTGCCTGCAGGCAGAGCCTTGTGGCTAGCAGGAGCTTTACAGCAGAAGCCTTGGAAGCCAACCAATGCTAATTAAAGCTTGCTTTTGCACTGGCGTGTTGTGCCATGGGTACCTGTGACAGATGGGGTCTGTTCACCCTGACTGTGAGATGCTTTTCATGAAGAATGTGGTACCAAAATGTTTTTCAGGGACTGGTGGCTTGTTCCTGTAGTTACATAGGGTTTGCTTAGGGGAACCTAAGGGTGTGCTGGGGCTGCCTGTGGGTGGCTGTAGTTTGCTCACTGCCCATGTCTTCTGCTCATCTTACAGGTGAAGGAATGGTTGTGCTTGAACTGCCAGATGCAGCGGGCACTGGGGATGGACATGACCACTGCTCCTCGCTCCAAGAGTCAGCAGCAGCTCCACTCTCCTTCACCATCTCCCTCCCACTCCCCAGCCAAGCACCCACCGGCCCCAGGTGCAGATAAATCCCCACCGGCCCCCCGCACCCTGCCGTCCGAGCCACCCAAACCTCACCCCGCAACACCGCAGAAGGAACCGCACAGCCAAGGCCAGCCAAAACCTCAGGAGGCGGCCAGGTCCTCCCCGCAACATCAGCAAGCCAAGCCTTCCCCCTCTGAGCAGAGAAAGACAACAGGAGATGCTGGGGCAAAGCCTGCTGCCCCGGCCCCTGGGGCTGGAGCACAAGAGCAGCCCCAGGAGGGGCTCACAGGGAAACTCTTTGGCTTTGGGGCATCCCTCCTGACCCAGGCGAGCACGCTCATGTCTGTCCAGCCAGAGGCTCCCACTCCGAGCCAGCCGTCTCCTGGCAAAGTGCCTCCAAAAATCGTCTTCAGTGATGCCAGCAAAGAAGCTGGTCCTAAAGCCCCGGGGGCACAGGGCCGGGCTGGTGCTGCACCAGGCGTGAAGCCAGGCAAACCGGAGCAGGGCGTCAAGCCAAAGGAAGTGCCGAAAGCAAGGGTCTTGTGCCCCCTCTGCAAGGCGGAGATCAACGTGGGCTCCAGTGAGCCCCCCAACTACAACACCTGCACAACCTGCCGGCAGCAGGTCTGCAACATGTGTGGCTTCAACCCCACGCCTCACCTGGTAGAGGTAAGGTGGCTGGCAGGGGTGGGTGCCTTCTGACCCGAGGGTCAGTCCTCTCTCCTCACTTAAAATGGAGACAAGATTGTGCTTTTCCCTTCAAAGGTTTAAAAAAAGCCTTTAAGAAGCTGTTGAATCCCAAGTACCTGCTGGGAGAAGCCTGAAGGCTGGAGGCCACGGTCCTCTGCCTCTTGACAAAGACATGGATTTCATATGTGTACACTGATTTCATGCTGGTTTCATGCAAGGGGTGACTGTTGTTCAGGGCACCCCCAGCAGTGTCCGCTGCTCCCCAAAGGTGTCCAAGGGTTAGGGAATAGGAGCAGGTCATATGGGTGCTGGAGTCACCAACACGCATCATCCTTCTGGTGCCTTGGATGGACATCTTGGCCAAGCTTGGGATGAGGCTAGTGAAGGACCTTCTGCAGCTCCTGTATCCTCTGATGGTGAGGGTGCAAGGAAAATGGTAGGGGTGGGAAAGTGGTGGAACCTCAGCAAGAGGATTTCAAACCAGCTGAGGGCATGCAATAGCCCGTTGGAGTTTGCTGCCCTCTCCAGATAGTAGGGGCTCTGCTCCATTGTGCCTGGGTGCAGGGAAGGGGAATGGGCTGAGCACAGGCTGGGTGTGGAGACATCCGCAATGCTGTTTGGGTGTGAATTGGCTCGGTGTCTTGCAGCCTGCTGAGATGGAGTGTAAGGAGAGAAGGGAGATTGAGGTGGTCTGAAGTTCACCCAGTCTCACCAGCTATAGCTGAGAAGGTCTCTGAATTGTTGTGATGCCCACCCAGATCATCTTCCCAAGCACCAGAAAGGGACCTTAGCCAACTCTAGCCACTGACACCTGGAGAGGAGAGTGGTGCAACTAGGGCTCAGCTAGAGCATCCTCCTACCCCTTCTGTTTTGGTAGCTAGGGAGAGAAAATATACCAGACCCTTGGAGAAGGCCTCTGTTGAAGTCTAGACCCTCACCCCCTCCTCTGCACCTGATTTGAGACCCTTACAAGAGGAGGCCCAGGGCTTTCTTCTGGAAGTGCTGTGTCTCACAGCCAGTAAGACACAAAATGGTATCGTCAGCACATGGAAAAGTTAATGGGAACGTTAAATGACTAGAAGTAAGATTGCTAATCCTGGCTTCGTTCCATGGCAGATAATTACATTTTATATCCCTAGCTCCTCCCTGCAGTTTCAATTACACCCAGCAATTCTCTCCTCTTCCTGAAGCTGCTGCTGTTCGTGGTCACGTTCATGGTGGAGGAGAACCACTCTGCTGGGGTGGTGCTCAGCATGCATGTGGAGGTTAGATAGCTGCCTCCTGGTACATAATGCTATTTTCAATGGAAATGCTCTTCTTATTGCTCCTACCGCTGCTTCTGTCCTACCCTGAGTGCTTGGGTGAGAAAAAAAGGTGTCCAGGTTGTTTAGTCCCTTGGGTAGGGCTGAAGCCCCATATTGGTCTGCCCTTGGGCAACAATGTGTTTCCAGACTTCAGAAAGCTTGTGGGTTCATGAAATGGCTTTAATGTGCTCCCCGTGGCCTTGGACTGTTAAATAATTAATTAGAGAATTAATTTGGGGTTGGGTTGTACCCGATAATGTGGTGTGCTCTGCAGATACCATGGAAAGGTGACCTCTCCCCAGTGCTTGTTTCCAGGGTCACCAGCTGACACCTGGCATTAAATTTCAGATTTTGAAGGATGGGCTCTGTCTTGACTCCCTCAGCTTTGAGCAAATGCCTTCAGACACCCTTGGCAAGCTCACCCTTGCACGTATGCCAGTCTTAGGGTTTCTTGCTGCTGCTCGTCACTGTGATACCCACATGCCTTCTCACAGAGTGAAGACCCACAGCAAGGTCTCAACCTGGGTTTTGTGGTGTCTTGGGTTTTCTTTCCCTTTACACAGAATCATTATCTGGCTTGGAATGGATGGGTTGATTTGTGGGATTTAACTGTTTTAAGAGTTGAGGAAGAAATGCAGCACTTGAGCTGTGAATGTTCTTAAAAACTTTCTGAGGAAAGGAAAAAATTGCAAGATCTGTTAACACAGTCGGACTTTAGTTTTGCTTGATCTCCTGAGGAAATTAGTCTGTAGTCTGATCCTCTTTTTGCCTGCAGCTCACATGAGCTTGTCCCAAGCCCTGAGATTCAGGCAAATACCAGAACTCACTCTTTGAAGTAGTGAGGCTTGATCCATTAATTGCTTTATGAATTAGGACCTCGACTGTAAGCTCCCCTTGGAAGTTGTGTGAAGACTAATAAGGAGATCTGAGCCCTGGTCTGGTATGTGCAGAGCAGTGTGAGCTGCAGGTGAGACAGGCAGAACACTCTGCGTGTGCCACTGGAGCCTGGGCAAAGCCTTCACCCCCAGCTTCAAGTGGTGTGAGTCACAGAGAGGGAGAGGGCTTGGGCCACAGTGGCCTGGTTTTTGTAAGAAGGATGGAGTTTTGCAGCAAAACAGTGCTGATAGAATGCATTTTCTGCAAAGAAAGTTGCAAGCAGTTGAGGCTCTGTCACAGTGTTGTTGATGGACTGCACATGATTATAGTTCCGTAGCAAAATTATGTAACAATCTCGGGAGGGGAAAAATCCCTAAGTAATGTTTACATCCTTATGCAGGACACCTAGGTCATCTCCACTGGCAGGAAGGAACAAATGAACTTGTGCTGAGGCAGACTGCTCTCCCTGTATTGGTGTGGGCGGTCGCAGTTTGATGCGAAGCACCAGTCAAACCAAAACTGGCATTTGTTGGGGGGCTGGATGAGCCCAGTTGTACGATGGCAGTCAGAGGGCACGCTGGCAGCACTGCTTCCCTGGGAACCCTGGCTCCTTGGTGGCATCATGCATAATGCTGAGGGTGGAGAGCATCGCATCCTAACACCTACTAACCCTAGTGCTTTAGCATGTGCTGACTTCCAAATTCATCATGGCTGTTGAGGAATAGGCCCTGCAAGTGCCTGAGGTGGATCTTGGAGGATGTGTCCAAAGCAGATCTTTGGGAAGGAGTTGGGGAGTTATGGAGAAGGTGCATCCTTCTTCAGGGAGTGCAGGACCCCATGAGATGTACTAGCCTGCTGGTGGAGGTGAGACCGTGTTAGGCTGTTGCACACTGCTGGAAGCAGACCTTCTGCTGCACATCTCTGTGTGTTTCTGCCGTGTGCATGGGCGTCCAGTGGGATGTGACAGGTCCCAACTAGCTGGACACACAGTCAGTATCAGGAGGGGCAACTGGTCAAACCTCGGAGCCACTCTCAGCAGCAGTGGGGGTTACAGGGGGTGTTGCTTTCTGATGATCACTGTTATGGGGAAAAGAAAATCGAGAGAGAAATGCAGAAAGCAGGGAAGGCTTTTGCCCCTATTTGCAGCCCCCTGAAACTTCTGATTTCCTTGGAAAGATGTGTTATTATTTACCCATGGTATTTTCATCCCCATCCCACTCCTGATCTAAAGATGGAGTTAGAGGCTCTGGGTCCCTGCCGTCCCCTCCCACCCTGTGCAGCCACCTGGGGACATATCCAAGTAGCTGCCTCCTCCCCAGCACTTCATTCAGCCAAGTGCACTCAAACCTATCAAAAGGAAAGAAAATACTAAAAGTGTTCTTTTTCTGTGGACTCACCGGCTGAGTTGCGTAGGTGCCAAGCCACCAAAAGAAAAGTGAGACTTGCACTTCCCTCATTGTCTTTGCACTGCCGTGGGCTGAGTGTTCATGTAGTCTGGTCCAGGTGAATCAAGAGCATCCCACCTGTGAGCAGTAGTGCCTCCAAGCCTAGAGCTCCCACGAGATCCACCATCAAGGCTTGGCTTTCCTTTGGCCCTGGGTCTTGGCGGGCGTGGTCAGAAGGTGATGGTGAGTACTAGAAGACTAGGGCACTTGAAGAGTTCAGGTACAAGCATGGCATTTTGGCAGCACATCCCAGAAGTGTGTGGGTTGTGGTGACCCATGGCTCTGGAAGCTGTGGATGACCAGCAGAGAGAGGAAGCCCAAAAGTGTGCCTGACCTCCGCTTCTTTTACTTACTTGCCATGATACATATTACTGAGCTTTAAATAAGTTGTTTATGTGAATTACCAGAAGTACAGGTGCCTGGAGCTTCCTCCCACCTCATCACACCTCCTCCAGGAGCTGGCTCCTGGGAACAGCACCATGAGCTGTTCCCACCAAGTCAGAGTTGGCACTTTGGGGCTCTCCCAAATTCCCTACAGCCTCAGCCTGGTGACATGTAGGCAGGAAAGAGGTTTCTGTTGTAGGAAGAGCAAGTGCTGGGCTGTTTCAGTGGGGATTTCAGAAATCACACCAGTTTATGGCAGTTTGCTGTGAGGGCAAGTGATCTGGCAAGAGTTGGCTTGCAGCGTGATTGCCCTGCGCTTGCAGAATGCTCTCCCGGTAACCCTGATTGACCCCAATTGACTCCAGAGGTTTTGTATTAAGGAACGAATGAACTATGCATGTTGTGTTACTAAATAAGCGTGGCAGGATGCCCCTTTGCCTAATTAACCAGCCTGAAACAGGAGCGGTGACAAGTTTCATTGAAGAACACTGCTGACCCCTGGGTGCCAGGCTGTGACCTCCAACAGGTGCCTTACCCTCAGGAGGGTCCTCTTACTGTTTTGTGGTACTCACTATAGCACATCCAGATTCTAAAATTGCATTTGTTTTCTTGCTTTCCCCACGCATTATAAAAAGCATCCTTCTCTTTATAACACTCGTATTGTCATTGGCATGCTGCTGCATCTCTCTGGTCTCACTAGTCAGTGCTGTTAGGTTCCTTATTATATGCATATCACATCCATTATCCTGGATGCAATATTGCAAGTCAGCAAAATGAAGGAGCGGCGTTCACTTGAGTCCTTCGTGGGACATGTTCCCCTTCTGGTGCTCCCCTTGTACCTGCAGCCAGGTACAAACAAGCCTGTTCATATTGATTTCTTGCAAAGAGCTTATGAATCACCGCATCAAGTATTGTCTGGAAAGCCCTGGGCTTCTCTTTCCATCACGCTCTAAGACCTCCTGCTGGGCAA